AAATGTATCAATTATGCAAAATACAAATGTATCATTATAATCTTAGGCCCCGTTTGGTACACGGAATTCAAACTATGGAATTGGAATTGAAATCTTCAATTCCAATTCTAGTGTTTGGTAGTACAAAAATTATGTGGATTTGGAATTGATAATAAAAAAAATGAATTGGAATTGGTGAATTCAATTCTATAGAATTGAATCCCATGGAATTTCAATTCCAATTCAATTCCAATTCCATCAATTCCACGTACCAAACGGACCCTTATTGTATCGTATCAAAAATAAAATTATCTCAAATTCTCATTCCTTTGAACTGTACCTGAAAACCAAATTGAAAGAATTCAGAAACAGATCGCACAAATATGTATATGTTAATTTAATAACCGAAATGAGAACAATACATTTAAATTTCAACTATAAAAGCATAAATACAAGATAAATCTTGGATCTCAGCTCTATGTTCTTTCTTGAAGTAATCTTTAAGTCAAAATAAATACTATACAAAAGTAATTAGCCCCAAGCCCAATAGATTTGTTTGTTCAAAAGGCTTACTAGCTTTTCAAAAATAACCCATAACATTGCTAAATTGACATTAAAACTGAGGTTGTATGCCTCAACATTATTGGGTGTAAGCCTCAAATATCACTGAGGCTTAACCCTCTAAGGCTTAAAGAGACCACCTTAGCACCTTGAGGCAGTTTATTTGATGTTGGCCACTTGCGGTTCTCATCCGCCTTTTAAAACCATGCTAGTGAGTTTGGCTACAATCATGGCCAGGGAATGAATCACTGTCTGCTGGTTTGTTTGATGTTGGCCGCTCGCTGATCTCGCCCTCTTCATTACGAGCAGTGTTTGAGCATGTGGTAGCAATGCAGAATTAGAAACTTAGATCTGATGCCGAAATGATGGAACCTGATAGGTTTAATTCAAGCTCTGAACTAAACAGTCTGTCAATCTTATACTACGTAGTTTTGGAATAATACCCAATCCCAAATATTGATGAACTTTTTACGTGGGACCACACATTTTTCAACAAAATTGACTTGAGGTCAGGGTACCACAATCTTCGAGTACAACCTGACATTCCTAAAACAGCATTCTAAACTCATTGGGCACTATCAATTCACGGTGATGCCAGTCAGCTTGACAAATGCACCATCCACCTCTCAAGCAGCAACAAATGATCTGTTTAGGCCTTATTTGCATAAGTTCATTTTTGCATTTTTTGATGGTATGTTGGTGCATGGAAGCTCCACTGATCATCTTTCTCAACATCTGATTGCGACTTTCAAATTGCTACGGGAACAACAGTGCTATGCTAAAGCCTCCAAATCACCAAATGCCTGTTTGGTAAGCTACATATTAATTTCCTCTGACATATTATTTCATCTAAGATGTTCAGTTGAAACAAGAAAAGATAACTGCAATTCAATCATGCCAATTCCTTCTAATGTTAAGGAATTACAAGGTTTTTTGGGGTTGACAGGATATTATATTTGGTCTGTTTTGGGCTATCAAAGGATTACCCGGACCTTGACAGATCTTACCAAGGAAAAGTCCTTTCAACGGAATGAAGATGCTGAAGTTGCTTCCAACAAACTCAAAAAGGCATTGACATCAGTCCCTATCTTAATAATTGATGATTTTTCTCAACCACTTGGTGGGGTGTGATGCATCCTCAGGCGGAGTGGAAGCTATCCTAGTGCAAGATGTAGTTTAGCCATATCTTATTAAATGAGATGGAATGAATTATGTGCTGAGCAAAACAAATGCTAGGCATTGACCCCCAATGTTCGAAATGGCATGGTATAACCCACCATATTGCGTGCCTCATGGCGATTTCCAAAAATTACGCCCTATGGCGATCTAGCCATTACGCAACAAGGGTTTAGGAGATATTGCACAAATATGGCGGGCGATGGCGAAAACTTTTTGATTCGTACGCCATGAGGCTATTAGAGGCGCACACAATTTCTCTCCCAAAAAATTAAATATTGGGTTAAATAAGTAATTTACTTAAAAACCGTAAAATTTAAATTACATAATAAAGCCTTAATCCTAGTAGATCACCTCTCCTATTCTTAGAGCATCATTTATTTTCTTCGATTGCTCTGCACCCTACTCTTCTAACGACTCTATCCTCTGCCAGGTAAGTTTTATGGAGTATTTTTATTATTGTTGATATTTGAATTATTTGTTTGGCATCATCATCCGCCTTATCACTTCTCCTACACTTGTTGATTTTTATAGTATTTTTTAAAGGTTTACAGAGTATTGACTTTATCCCCTTATCTGATTGGCATCCCGACCACTTTTTTTTTCTCCATTTGTGTTTACTCACGTATAATTGTTTAATGTTAGCAATTTATTCTAACTAATTTGTCATTAATTTAAGGTTTTAATGTTTATTGTTATTAATTTGTCATTCAAACTTGAAAATTGTATGTGTATAAATTTTTAGTCTTGTTTTTTTAGTTAAACAGATTGCGTAAATGTTATATCCACACTTTTGAACTTTAAATTTGAGGCTTACACCTTGACATAAAAAACGCCTCGAAACCGCAATATGCAATTTTTTGTTGACCCCAGCTGGTTTGCTCCAACCTTTACTGTTCCTGAGTGCATTTGTGAAGATGTGTTGATTGATTTCATTGTGGAACGTCCCAAGTTAAATTGGTATTATACTATTTTGGTAATCGTGGTAAATATGCTCACTTCATTCCACTTTCTCATCTATTCACTGCTGCTAAAGATTTTCGCTAAGAGATTCTCAAGCTGCATGGCGATTCTATAGTCGATTGTGTTAGACAGAGGCTGTTTTTCTTAGTGTTTATTGGAAGGAACTGGGTTGTTTCTGCAATACTCAGTTGAAGTTGAGTACCAACTATCACCCTCAATTTGATGGACAGATTTATGCGGTTAACCGTTGTTTAGTAGCCTATTAACATTGTGTTTCTCACGAGCATCCAAAAGAGTGGGGTTCCTTTTTGCACTGGGGTGAGTTTTTGTACGGATATACAACACAGGCTTCCGTGTAGCTACCAACACTACTCCTTTCACTGTCACTTAAACCCACCTCCTACCGTCATCAGCCAAGTGTCGTCTTAAAAAACTATCTTCTAGGTTCCTTGGTATGATAAAGTTTTTAGGAGAGTAGATGCTGTTGTGTATAAACTACAACTTTAAATTCTCATATCTATACAGTTTCTCATGCATCATCGCTGCTGCAAGCCAAAGGGTAGGTTCTATCTCCAACCCCACCCCCATTGCCTTTATCTTGGTGTTTCGGAAACAATACTTTGTCCCACTTGGATTTTAACTCATAGATGGATTAAGGAAGATGGTAGTTCTGTACTGGAATTGGTTGTTGAATGGAAGGTATAAGGATAAACCACTTGAAGCAGCTTCATGGGCGATTTACAACTTGTGTGTTCATGGATAAACCACTTGAAGGAACAATTTCCAGGTTTTTACCTCGAAGACAAGTCAAAGTTTGTGGGGGAGGGGATTGATACAAGGCAGACACCTCCTTTACAGTTTACAGGTGTATCCCGAGAGAACTTTCTGACTATTTCTGCATATTGAGACAGTTTTTACTTTTCAGTGTTTGCGGATATGATGGAAAGTTTATAATCAGATTAACTGTTTTAGTGAGCTAAAGATCTGCAACTGCTACAGATAGGTTAGGTTATTACATGGGTCCATGCTTTTAAATACATTACAGGTTAGGTTGTTATAATTGTAAGTTGAGTTGTAAGATTGTCCAATCTTGTGAGTACGGAAGGGTGGAACAATCTACGTTGCTGTTATGGGAAAAAACTGAAATCATCCAAGATTACCTAGCTGGATTGCAAAACCGTAGGATCGCAGTTCGATTTGATCTAGGAGAGGCACAGTGGCGGGTTGGGTTGCGGAATCTGTTGATGCTTGTCCGTGTCTTCATTTTTCTGTGTCTTCAGCTTCTTCTGTGTGCCAGGTCAATTCTCCAGGTTTTAGCTTCTTCGATTATTCATGAAGGTTGTATCACTAGTATGGTTGGTCGAGTGAAAGAAAAATCACCAAATTGGGCATTTTCCAAGTTGTGTCCTTAAAATTAAACCTCTTTTTTTCATTACTATAACATTGACTTTTTTTTACCAACATTATTAATTTTGAATTTTAACCATATCTATTTCCCTTTTATTTTTAATTTCACTCTCCCATTTATTAGCTAAACACTCATTGGATAAATTTGTAAAAACATATTCTATAGTTATATGGATTGTGATACAAATACTCATATTCCACAACTTTATGTGACTTAACTTACTACAGTACAGAAGAGTTACTACTTTTTGTTTTTCAATTAAGTTATATAGAGGTACATTTTATAAGTTTTACTTTGGAACTTACGATCAAATCGAACGGGTGGAATTGGAGCCAGAGCTCGAACAATGCTAGTTGTCATCGCAAGTGGCTCGTCGGTCTAGATAAATTTCCGACCCAGAATTCTTTTTTCCTTCAGGGTGTGTGGATGAGAAGAAAGAAAAAGCAGATCTAGCTTTAATGGATCTAGCCATTGTTGAACGGAAGAAAAAGCAGATCTAGCCATTGTTGGACGGGAAGAAATAAATGAGGGTGGCGGATTAGAAGGGAAGAAGAAACAGGTGGAGGGGTAGTGGTCTAGATTGGAAGGGCAAAAGAGTATTCTAAATTTAATTTTATTTCCATTTTAGGAAATGGGAAGAAAGATAGTACACATCACAAAATGGAAAGTAGGAAGAGAGAAAGTGGACACAGAGGGAGTATTTATAAAAATTGTTAAAAATACTTTCATGGAAGTACAAAATTTATAACTTTATTTAAAATATGTAAAACTAAAAATATCAGTCAAGTTTTAAAAAATTGACCAAATATGTGAAATTTGGAAATAATTCGTATGCAGTGTGTATTCATACGAATCTCTTCATAATCCCCACTTTCCATTATATTTCCTAACATAACTTTTTGTTATCACTCAGGTGGTTACTTTCTGGGAAGGGGAAATTGTTGACACAAAGAACTATACTTTCTTCACTGACAAATGGGGCGCAACGTATGTTCTTAATCCTTTTTTGTGGAACTGTGCAAGGATCTACAGGATAGATTGAGTAATTCAGTGATGAAAAATTGGAAATATTCATACTTTTGACTAGTGTTCGAATATGAACAGAACGGAAGATGATATAAGGCACTGGTCGCAGTTTCCATCTTTTTCACCCCTACAGGCAAGTATTCTATAAGCTCTACTATACAAGGATGGAAGTTCTCTCTTTCAATACAATAACCGGCTTCATCTTTGCAGAGCATGGTTGAAAATGATGGTGGTAAATTGCTGGACTTGAGTAATTATCAGAACATATTCATGGTAATCTGCTTCACTTGGCTTTTGTTGGTTGGTGAGAATGCTTCGTGCTTCACCCATGATCTGTTAGAGTGTTAGTCACTTAATCGTCTGATTGGCTGGTTATCCGCGCAGAGATGGAAAGAACAATACTTTGTGAATGTTGGAACCGACTGTGGGCTGACGATAGCTGGTTTTTACTACGTCTGCTTCTCCTGTAACGATGGCTCCATTAATGGTTTCTATTACGATCCCAACAGCAGGTATCCATGTTTTTTTGGTAATCTGCAATTTACTATCATGCCCTTAAACTGTCTTCGAATTCAGATAAAAGTTAGGAAAAAATCACGTAAATACTGCCAGAAATTCATGATTTTATGATATTACTTCCAAATACAACTAATTGCTCCTTTGCTCCCAAATAATTTTTCTCTTTACAACTTCACTGACACGCTGCATAATCAGCCTATTTTTTAATCCACGTGCAGTTGATTATTTAGTTTTACTGAATGTTTTGATTGATTCAAATGTGTGTTTGGTTACGTTTTCAAATGGTTTTATAATAGTTTGGTTACGATCCCAACAGCAAGTATCCATGTATTTTTTTGGCAACCTGCAATTTATATGGCCTTAAAATTGTGTCTGAAACCATAAAAAAAGTTATTGGTTGATGATTGAAATATTTCTTGCAGCCCTTTCCAGAAATTGGAACTGAAAACCACCAGCAACGGGAGGTCGGGGTTCAGCTTCTCTTCATATGAGTTGCAATGAAGTAATCGTTTGTGGGGCTCAAATGTGTATTGATGCTTCATTCCATGGCACATAAATTGGACCATCATTTTCTCACTGTTTTGCTTAGACAACGACACCAATGTGTTACACTTGAATGTACCTTAATAACGTTCTAGTGGTTCTGACTTCTAACTTGAGCTTATAGTTTTATTTACTCTACAATCTAGTTACCTTTTGATAATTGATTCTTTTTAATACAGAATACAGTCATCATATCGAGTCAACCGTGTTGACCATGCTCAGGGGCGGTTAAGGATGGCAATGGGGTGGGGTGAGGGCAAATACTTTGCTTCTCGCCCCGGTGCGATAGGAACTTTCCCATCCCCGCCTGCCCCAAGGGAGAAGTTATCCCCATCTTCGATCCTTGAAGATCCCCCGTCTCCATGGATGTCCACCCACAAATTTAAAAAAGAATACTCTCTCTGTCCATTATTTTTCATAGCAGTGTTTGACTTGGCATGATTATTTATGTGATAAAAATAGTGTTGAATTTCCTATAATACCCTTTTAATAATGCTAATGAGATATTCGTAATTAATTGGATGAGATGAGAGGATTAGCGGATGGTGGATCTGATACTACGGTCGTCATAGGGTGCCGGTAGGGAGGGGATGCACAGATGGCCGAAGTAGCAGAGTTGTAGGAGGCTTTGAAATGGTTGAAGACAACGACATGACATGATGCTTTTGAATTGAGATTGATAGTGTGGTTGTGTTGAGGCCAATCCAAGAAGACATTATCAATCATTCTCATTCTAACTTCTTAAACGTCATTTCTGATGGTAAAACAATGATGCGAGACTTAGTTCCTCTCATGTTACCAGTTGTTAGTAGATCGGCGAATCAAGTGGCTCACATGTTGTTTCGAGCATCCGATTTTGAGTCTGATTGTCTAGAGTGGGTGGGGTCCCTCCAATGTTTATTTATGAGACTTGATACTCTGATTTGATTTAATATTAATTCAATAACTTTTCAAAAAAAATGTACTTTGACTTTATTAGTCAAATTGTTACACACATTAACAACTACTCTTTGTCCAGTTTGACTTTTTCGAGTCAAACTGGACAAACTTTGACCTTCAATTAAGTAAAAACCGTAATGTATTTTAATATAAAAGATTTTATTGGATTTATCGGATTGAAAACTTTCAAAATTGTGTTTTATTATGCTATTATGCAATATAAATTGAGAGTAATTCGAGTTCAAAGTTTGCCCAGGTAGTAATGTATATAATTTTAAATTAAATAAATCTTATAAAAACTTAATATATAAAAACTATATCATAAAATTAACTTAATAGATACTCCCTCCGTTTCTTTAAACCATTCCACTTTTGTATTTGAGCAAAAATAAGGAAAGAGTAATTTTGGTTGACTTTCCAATTTTGTCACTGATGTGATGGGTAAAAGTAATACGGAGTATGTGATAGTTTGGTTATTAGAGAAAAAGTATGATGTAGTGATAGGTAGGGTATGAAAAAGTAAGGATAAAAGTGGTTTTTTAATAGGAAGTGGAAGTGTTTTAGAAAATTGAAAAAAAACGAAAAGGGAAGGGTTTTGTGGAACGGAAGGAATATATTTTCTATAATTCATTCAAAAGTTTGTAATAGAAAAAAAGTGAAATTACAAAGATTTTAGAAAAAAAATGAAAGAAAAAAGAAACGTAAACTAAAATGTTATCTTCAATTTAGTGCTAAGAAAAGTGTTTTCGTATGGATAGAGACGACGGACGCAAAGGAATTATCATGAAAATATTGCACATTTGGTCCATCGGTTAACTTTTCCGTTAATTCATATATATTTTATCCATTTTCCATTATAAATACATGTGAGAAACTCTTACTTTTTCATACAAGTCCATTTCATATAAGTCCATTTTTTAACAATAATACCTTACTCTTGCTTTTATTATGTCCAGTTTTTTTTTATTAATAATAAGTTACTCTTGCTTTTATTGGTCTAATTTTTAAAATTATTTTCTTCATTCTAATTGGTTTTTTCAACTAATACCAAATATTACAATCGGTATAAGTATGATTGTCCACCTTTTTCAGAAAACCCCAAATTTATGAAAATATGGTAAAACATTACTCTCTTTAAAACTAGTTTGTTCTTTGAACAATGATGATGCCAGTTTAGAGCAGAAGTATGATACTCCCTCCACCCCTTTCAAATTATCCCATTTCAATTTACTATGTTTGAGTCAAATTATTTTGAATTCAATTCAGTTAAATATTAATCTAAAACTTTAAAATACAATCTATGCAGTTAGTTGGTCACCCGTAGGAAAGAAGCCATCGCCATCCCAAGAGCAAGTTGAAGATTGAGAGAAAGCAGATGATTTCTAGTGATCAGAATAGTGAACTTGAAGAGAAAAACGAATTAAACGGATGCTAATATCCAGAACATTATATGGGAAGAAATGGCGATGAGAAACCAGGCTATGAATGCCAAGACAGCTGCGAGCTCATATCTGACACACGGGAGTTGGGATGGATCGTTGCAGAACTTCAAATCTCTTGAGTATAAAACCACTATCCCCGACGAGGAGCAAGCAGCTGCAAGTGATAATGTTGATGTCACCTGGACAGACCCAAATCAACAACGCACTCACTCAATATGGGGTTGATTTAGCCAAAAAAACGTTAGGGCAACCCCACAATTTTGACTTCACCATTGACCTTGCACAGGCGATAAGACAGATATTGTTTGTGCAAAGCATGAGGTTAATGGTGGTGTCAAAAATGGGGGGTTACCCTAGAACAACTCTTTATTTAGCTAGCAATGGTCAAGCTAATATAATGTCAAGAACCAATTGATACATACCCAATCCCCCACAACAAAGAGGCTGACCAAGACTGGACTACAGATGTCTCTCTTTGTTGTCAAAGCATATATGTCAAGACATGCAAGTCCAAAGCTCCACAGCACTTGAAGTCCCATCGATGCGATCAAATAGCTGAAAAAATAGACAATTTCTTTTAGTTACCTTGAGCAAAAACGGATAAATAAAAGAACCTATTGAATATGTGAAGAGATCATATGTGCACAATAATAGTTTTTTTCTTCCTATTTCACCGGGAGGAAGTGGCATATAACACATGAAGAGGTATACCGGATTGATTATTAATGGACACAATTTCATAATGCAAGCTACAAATATTAGGTGATCTTTGCACTCTTAAGGCTTGGAGGCTTTAGCAAAATGTACCACCGCAAGGAGAGAGATCATTGACTAATCAATAGAGTTTACTGAGCCACTGACCTCGTGAAATTTTTATATGGAATTATAGTAAAATACAATCATGGAAGCAGGCAAGAGATAAGACTGTTCAAAGTCTCAATAGGTTCTGTATAGCCCTTTACCATAAGAATGATGAAGGCACCAGGGAAAAATAATTCATATTGACAAAAATGATATTGAGTGAATTTGTCCTACAGAGAAAGACATTACAGGCCAATTTATATATTGACTATTGAGTATGAATGAACTACCCTTAGTTCCTCTCATTTGCAGTCACACATGTTTGATTAATGCTAAATTATACTCCGTCCGTCAAAAAATAATGTTCCGCTTTACTAATCACATGGTCAAACCATATCTTCTTTCATTGTATATTTCAATGATCATTTGATAAAATAAAATAGTCAAGCCTCCTCTTAATGGGATTTTCAAATATATACATTTTATTTAAAAGTACACACCAATTTTCAAATAAATAGAAATGAGAATAACTTCAATCTTAAACCGTAAGTGAAACTCTATTTTGGACAAAGGGAGTCCTACAATATCAATAACGTCGCATATTCCTGGGAATCTGGGTCCTCTTGGAAACATCTATCTCTACTGTCAAGGGGCTAGTAGGGGTAAGGTCTGTGACCTCACACCCTCCCCAGACCCCACTTTCTTGGGACTTTACTGGGTTTGTTATTGTTTTTGTTGTGTTCCCGTGAATCTAGGCTGGTTCACTTTGGAATGAAAAGAATAGAGATAGGTTTTCATCACCCAAAAAAAGGATGTTTGATCAGTCAAACATAAAACAAAGCCTACCAGAAAGCGATGAAGTTGGAAAATCCATAAGCGAAAGCCATGGCCCAATAGAGCCAACTGTGAACAAGCATTTCCCAATTAGCAGCTCACTCACACTTCCCAGACTCCCCACAAATTCCACACACCTCCGTCCTCATTCTTCTCCTTCATCCTCTTCCTAGAACGAAAAGTAAAAGTAACTCTCTTAGCCCTTTAAAGACACAGGGGCTTTCGCCGCTAGAAATTAAATAAGCATTTCAAGAAGCGTAAATGATCATATAATCTTCTGAACATACAAAGAGAATGTAAACTCTTTCAAAATCTGATCGTACATTCTCCTTGTAGAATCACCTCACAATGTCAACATCTTACATGTGCTCTAATAATAATGATAATAAATGTGAAGGACAACATTTGGGGAAATGAGATTCCAAATATATACTCCCTCTCATTCCTATATAGTGCTCTTCATACGGTTTGTGATGTTTAACTGAAGCTATTCTCAATTCAATTTATTTAAAAATTGGTGTAGAATAAAAAAGAAAATTTGTGTTTTTTAAAACTACATAAAAAGTTCTACAAAAGATGTCACTTATATTATTTTATTCTATCAAATGATCAATATAAGTTTGTAAGGAAAAAAGGTGTGGTTTGACAGTGTAACACTGTTGGGATTTTAAGCGCGTAAGATACCGAAAAATATTGAGAACCCCAGAAAAAAAATTATATTTCCACTATTTCAGGACAATATACAAAAAACTCTCCCCTGTTTACAAGACTAAATTTCAGACACTCATAAACAGATCTTTCCACATCCTATGCCCGGATGTATTTTTCCAAGTAACTAAAACCAGTTACTCCCTACACTCACCAAGACCTCTTGGATTTTCTCGGTGGTATTCTTGTGTAGAATTCCTCTCATTTTCTCTCTCTACCTTGGTGGTGTGTAAAACCCACACACACAAATACTCCGTAGCCTTTCCATTTTAAAGGGCAAAGAGAAGCATAATTTGCCCCAATCAATTTGCTACAGGAGAGAACCCAATCACATGCATGCATGATGGATGCATCCACCATCCATATCTTCCTTTTTTATCTTCCTTGTCCTCTTTCTTATTTCCTTTTTTTTCTTTTTCTTTTGATTATTAATCAATTTCCCAACAAACACTAATATGGAACGGAGAGAGTACTATTCTTTTGTTTGGACTTTGGAGCACACTCAGCACCATTCGCCCACTTACACACAGCTTGCCAGATTTCCAAAATCAAAAATCATGTTTTTGAAAGTGAGGACTAGCTCTCTTATAATGCATGCAGCAAGTCTCACCACGTTTAAAAGGGAAGTCTACATGCTTAACTTTTTCTTTAATGATGGAGTATCTCATCCCTTTGGAGTTTGGAGACTTACTAAACACATAAACTCTACAAGATATGAATCTACCCGTTTTGTCACATTGTTGCCAAGAAAAGGTTACAATGCTACATGCCCCAAATACTTTGTCACAATCCCAAAATATGTGGCTCCATCATTTCATCTTACTATAAGAAAACAGATGAAGGGAAAACCAGTTCGAACTGCATCAAATTGGGCAAACTTATATGGCATGTACCACTACCATTGTCCTTTGGTGGGCCTCCCTACCCATCTCTCTACCCCGGCTCTAACCCAATTTTGAATTCTAATATGTAAAGTCTGCATACACAAAATGACTAAATGAGCCCATTATTTGTTGATCAATGTTCTAAAATGTACAACCACTTTTCATATTTATAATAGGCCAAATAGCACCAGTACCCCCCGTGGTTTGCAAAATATGCACCAAAACCCCCTCTGTTTTCAAAACTTATTTCTAAAGTCCTTGTGGTTTCAAAATGCTGCACCCGTGCCCCCTCTGATCATTTTCCGGCCATTTTTCCGGCGAAGAAGGGGGGCATTGCTGCATATTTACTAAACTACGGGGGGGTATCGGTGTTGATATTTATTTCTTGCTTATTTTTTTGTTTTTTTCCATTTTTTCTTTTATTTGTTTTTTTATTAATAAAGGTTTTTTTAAAATTATTTTTATAATGTTCATAAAATTTAAAGTTATTTTTTTTTTGAAAAAATTAACATATAATGTATATGTACTTCTCAAATCAACAATTTTTGTTTTTTCTGAAAAAAGTAAACTTTTTTTTGAGAATTTCAAAAAAATGAGGAATAAAATAAGAAACAAAATAATACAAAAATAAAAATGAATATCTTTTTCGAACATCTCAATTCTAGGGACTTTTTTAGGCTTGTCCATTTCTTGTATCAGACCTTTTTTGTGTATTTTTATTTTTCATTTTATTTTTCCATATATTTATAATTTTATTCTAGGTTTTTTTCTTTTTGAACTTTCCAAATAAGTACATAACAAAAAGTGAAAATGTTTAATTTCAAATAGATGCAATGTATGTTAATTTTTTTATTTTTATTTTTATTTCAAACACAAAAAATTTTAAAATTTTAAAACATTATAAAAAATTGAAAATAAATTAGAAAAAAATCTAGGAAAAGAAAAAAGAGATAGAAAATATTTAAAAAAAGAAAAACACAAATAATAAATGAAAAATAAAAATTGAGCACGAATGCCCCCTATGGTTTAAAAATTATGCGCAAATGCCCCCTCGTCGCCGGAAAATGGTCGGAAAATGATGAGAGGGGGCACGGGTGCAGCATTTTGAAACCACGGGGACTTTAGAAATAAGTTTTGAAAATAGAGGGGGTATTGGTGCCAATTTTCCAAACCACAGGCATCGGAGCTATTTGGCCATTTATAATAAATGTTTACTTCTAATATTTAACCAAAGTATTACATTTATGGTTAAAAAGATTGTATACATTGTTTCCCATTCTCATTTCTTTTTTTATATCTTCAAGGCTTCAATTAAGGCAGGTGCTTAGAAAACTCTTTTAAAATCATTGGCATGCCGCTGATACACTGTATTTTAAACATGTGAAATTATGTGTTACAACCAGTAACTAATATACAATACACGGGCAAGTCTCTCCATTTCGGCCTTTGTTGAATTTCATAAGTTTAAAATGCACAAAAGGGGGGAAATCTAGTGTGGCTAAGGTGCATTGGAAAGAGACCGACTCTTTGCTTGGGGTGGTCGCCAAGAGGAGGTTGCCTAGAACTCTGAAAGAGATTGATTCAAAGCCGTTCACCTCAGGTTGCAAGTCGCTCTGGTCATCGCCTACATGATGTCATGTGGGGAGGTTTGAAGAGCAAAGGTTGTATGAAATCACGGGTCTCTAAGAGTGTTAGGGCTATATGGCTTTTACAGCCTATGTTTTTAAGATTGGGCTTTCAAATTACATTGACTAGGCTGGAAACAAATGGCAAGACATGGCAACACAATGAGTCAAACCATCGCCATGGACATTTTTCATGGCAAGGGGAGGCCCAGATCACCAATGGCACAAAATGGTTATCGACTATCGCCATTGAGAGGCATGTTCACTCTAAATGTCATTATTTACCGTACTCATTCACCAATCGTGACTCCACCCCTGCCTGTTACTATGATCTTAAACAGTCCTTGTGGATTATGGTTTCCCTGAAAAACTATTGGTTCATATAAAAAATTTACAGTGTTTAAGATGCCAATCCCTCCCCACTCTATACAGATTGAGAACTTTAATTCTGTCATTTCCAGTTCCACGGCATACCATCTAAGGTCCATATTAAGTGAGAGAAGGTGACTTCATACATTTACATTCTATCCCCACAAATTGTCATTTGAATATTCATGAAGGACCTAGTTGTTCAGCGCTAAGAAAATACAGTCTAGTGGCAGCAAATGATCACCATTGATGAATGAAATGTGTCTGCTCTTGAGAAGATCGAGTCAAAGGCAGTAGAGTACTCCTGGTTGCCCACCATCCCGCTATATTTTGGGAAATGGTTAGTGGAATGAAAACTAAGAAAAGTGAAATTATATGGTTGATATTGGAGTCCGTTTGGAATGAGGGAAAATGACTTGTGGAAGTGACTTTCCCTGTTTTTGGTGTTTGGCAGGGAAATGGAAAGTAGCCCTTGGTCAAGCGGAAAATGAAGGCACTTATCCGGAATCTGACTTAAGAAAAAAATTCTGGAAGACAATTTCCACTCTTCGCAGCCTCTTCTTCTTCTCTGTTCCTCGCCTCCTTTCTTTCTTCTCTTCCTCCCATCCTTCATTTTTCTTTCTTCCTCCTTTCTTTGCCTGTTCTCCCTCTCTTCGCAGCTGCCCACTAACCCTCCTTCCCCCTCTTTCTTCACCTTTTAATTTCTCAAGGAAAAAATCTGGAATTTTGGAATTCAGATTACCTCGTTGCCCCCTGCAGTGCGATGAGAATCGATTTCCTCATTGGTTTGCACAAGCAACGCACAGGGATATCGCCGATTATGGCATCAATGAATAGTGATTTTGAGGCATTTTGGGCTTAAAGATTGGGGATTTGGAGCCTGTTCCTATTTTCCAATATTCATTTTCCTCATTTTATCCACACAGAATATGTACAATTTCAATACTTTTACCCAAACACGAAAAAGGAAAATAACTTCAGGAAAATAACTCATTTTCCAGAAATCATTTTCCTAAAGTCATTTTCTCCCTTTCCAAACGGACCCTTGATATTAAAACTAAGAAAAAATATGAATGCATGTGAGCCACAGAAATTTTACTAAAGATGGCATGGGTTAAAATATTTGGACACACAAAAATGATGGGATGGAGGGAATAGAATACATTCATCACTCGCTCAATCTAGTTTAGAAATGGTCACTAATTAGTGGATGATGTGATCTGAGTGGGGATCGAGAGTTGGAGATATAATCATACTAAGCTACTGTTTTTAACATATTTAGTCTCACCACCACCTCTGATGATAAGCAAATCAATAGACATGAGCTTTAACGAATGGGAATACTTAAACTCCCTAAAACTTCCTTCACTATTATACCCTTTCGCCTCTCCCAAACAGGTTACTATCCACCCTTCCCTGCCCTTATGTTTCTTACAACTCCTTGCACCCATCCAGCCTGTATAGAGAAATACAGGAAGAAGCCATTTCCTTACCAACTTATCAAACAAAAAAACTCATCCAAAGAAAGGACGGTCTGAGTGATCAGGATTCAAGGGTAAGTATACATTTGATATCATTCATTTGGATTGAAGTGGATCCAATGGGGAAGATTCACTCTGTTTGTGTTTTCTTTTTGAGGACTATAAATGAAAAACCCCATGTTATAAAGAACTATTTCAAGAATTTACTCTCTAAAAGAAGGTGGAACACCCACCACGGGCGAGCCCGGCCCAAGAGAGTAGTGATGGGGTAAATCATGGTATAATCTTAGTCTGGTTTTTTGAAAGGCTGTCTCTCGCATTGTCGCTACTAGAAATCGATCTTGAGACCTCAGACTTAACACTCCTGGCTCCTCCTAATGACATCTCTTAATTTAAGTTAGGTGGTGTGAATCATTCAACTTGATTTACCAAGATTCACTCCGTTTTCGTTACACCAAAACCAGGGCCAATCGGGCTGAATGTCTTATACCCCAGAGTATATATTTTTTTAAAATTTAATTCACCACAATCCATCAAAAATTAAAGAGAAATTCCCTATAAAGCTAATATTATATAATCAAATTCTGAAGGCAATTTTCTAGCCTAGGTTGTTTTTCCATAATGGAACATTAATCTTTGAATGAACCTGCTCTACAATCTAGTACTAACATACATGAACTAATATCCATTCCTGTGAAACTGGGCTGGTTTACTTTGGAATAAAAAGGATAGAGAGGTTATAATCGACCAAAAGGAGATTTTTGAACAGTTGAACGAGAAAAGCATACCAGAAAGCAGTGAAGTTGGAAAACCCAAAGGCGGTAACCATGGCCGCAATAGAGCCAGCTGCAAACAAGCATTGCCCAATCCTCAATAGCATCCCACTCACGCTACCCGGACTCCCAACAAACACCTTCATCCCCTATCTTACTAAATGAAAACGGTAAAAGTAACTCCCTTAGTCCCTTCCCCAAAAACCACAGGGGCCTTCTCTGCTAGAAATTAAAGGGGCACTTCAATAACAGTTGAAGATGATAGCCACCGCCATCGACACACACTGAAGGTCAAAAAATCACATCCAATGAATGTAATTTCGGATCTACGGGGAGGTGCTTCTGTTGGGCACCTATGGTTGGTTCAAGGAGAAAAAAAATTAACTCGAAAATAATTTTTCTTTTTTTGGTAAAAAAGGAAATGCGGAAGAAAAAGAAAATGAGAAGATCAAATGAAAAAACAAAAATCCTCTCATCTTAAGTAAGGAAAAGAGAGAAGATCATTTTTTTCTTTTCAAATTTCTTGAATCAAACATAGTGTAAGTGATCTTTTAACAGAAACATTTTTAAAATTGTATGGCTTACTCTAAAAATTAAAAAATGTATTGTATTCTCAAACTTTTTGAAAATTGCATAATTTATCCCTAAACATTAAAAAGTGCATCAAATATCTCTGAATAATTTAAAATGTTGTATCATTAGTCCTAAACTGCTAGATAGGGAGTGTGTTGCTCCCACACATGGCAATGCGAGTATGATTTATCTTGCCATTGTGGATTTTCCAAAGTACCCTTCCTCAAAATTATCATTTTTATTAATGTTTGGGAGTAAATCGTTCAATTTCTGAAGTGTTTAGGAGTATTTGCTACACTTTCTAATGTCCATAGGTAAACCGTATAATTTCTTAAGAATTAAGGGGTATTTGATGCACTTTTTAATGTCCATGGGTAAAACCGTGCAATTTTTGAAAAATTCGGAAGTAAGCGGTGCACTTCTCTCTTATGGAACGGGTAAGATACACTCTGTACTATGTTTGGGTCGAGTTAAGGGCCTGTCAAGTAAACATTTTAGTACTTTCTCTGTTATTTTGACTTTTAGAAAATTTAAGGAAAAAAATATTTTTGTATTGATTTTTTCAAAAAATATTCTTGATATGATGGGTAAAAGTATGATATGATGAGTTGATTATTAGTAAAAAGGTTTGATGTGATAGATAGGTTAAGAATTAATAGGGTTAAAGTGGTATTTTAATTGAAAGACGAATGACTTTGTGAGACAAGAAAAAAAGAGAAGAGTTTTTGGAATGGATGGAGCATTTTAGAATCTCCGTCTAACTTTTAGAAAAACTATCTCAATGCTCAAACTATTTTAGACTTTGTTTTTTATTAACTTTTATTTTTATTTAATTAGTTATCTAATATATAATTATACTATACACTATCTTTTCTACCAAATTTATTTATAAATATAATTAACAATTAAAAAGTTAACAACATAAATTATAGAGAAAACTATTCAAAATTATCACACACAAAATAAAATAAAAGCATTTCATTTGAACCATTCAAGTAAACACACATTAAATATAAATTACATAAAATAAAATTGGAAACACAATAAATTAAAATTAAAGAGTACATAAGTAAACATAATTGAAATATAAAATGGCATGTTTAATAGGAAGAAAAAGAAGAATTTCTGCTCCTTCAAGTATTTATGTGTTTTGTTCCCAAAAACATTAAAATATTACACATCAAATTGCACTAAAAATGTATTTTGTTCCTAAAAAATAAAATAAATATTACAAAAAAAGAATAAAATCATAACAATATAAAATCAAAGAAGTAGACATAATTAACGATTTAGTTTTTTTACAATTAGAATATATTGATTATTTTTTATTACAAAATACTTGTAACTTTTTTTTTCAAAAAAATTATTGTTAACTACACGTGTCTAATTTTAATTGGATGAATTGAGTTAAGAGTCTTAAGAGTGAGTATGGAAATTAAAAAACTCACTTTCAGACTGTTCCCATTTTCTACCCACTCCAATGGTAAGGTTTGGAAAAGAGAGTCTTCAGACTATGTTCAGACTACCATTCATGATGCCTCAATAGTTAGCTCCATTAATAATTAGTACATCGGATGGATTTGAGCCCACCAATTATAAAAGCACAAAGAACGAAAATAAGAATGATAACAAACTCTCAAAAAAATAGGATCTTAATATCACCTTGAGTAGCTTGATTTAGTTTGGGTTAGAATGGAAGTTTTCCTCTTATGTATAATTTACATACTATGACGTACATAGTTTCCATACTACTCCGTAGAATTTTAAAGTTGATATTGCGCTGCATCTATATTTTAAAGATCTTTCCAGCAAATATAAATTTGATTATGAAATATGGACTTTAAAGTTTTTTATTAGATCTGGCAAAAATTGACTTGACCTGTTCTTGATCCGAAACCCGACCCAAAAACATTAAGTTTTGAATAAAGGTTTTGTTGACCGAACACGAAATGACCCGTTAAAAGTATGTCAAACCCGACTGAACCTGAACCCGACCTGACCAACCCGTTAATGTAAGAATTTTTCAAAGTTATATAATTTAATAGGAAATATAGTGTTAGAAAAATAGGTTTATAAATATTTATATTTTCTTATTACTCATTTTTAGTGTATAAATTTATATTTTTCAGACAAAATCTTAATGTATTACATAATTATCTTACTTTTTCCGAAAATCATATATTTTTTAAATTTTTAGAATGAGGGTAATATAAAAATATACTAAAATAAAAATTTGTTAAGTTTTTTTTTTAAGTTTTTCGATTTTTCAGAGTTTTTGTAGTTCATTACAGTTCTATCATTTTCTTCAAACTAGTATTCAATGCAATATTTTCTCCGAACAAAAAATATATAATTTCGACACGATTTTTAATACTATAGACAAAAATACAAAAGTAGAATAAATAATATTTGAGAAATTGAATGTGTACTCAACAATGTTTTTTAATACCAAATTTTCTGATAGCTTTTAAGGCATACAACAATTTTGGTATAATTGCAATGGTTTCAATTGTCATCTAGAACTAATATTTTTAATCTTGTCTTTGTATTGACTCTTGAAATAGCAAAATAGAGCTAACCATCAATGAAGAACGAACGGGATAAAAATAATTCAACAAATGACAATGTTTGATCTTGACTTTTGTTGATTGTCATTGCAGAACATAAGACTATTAAAATTTGTCTTTTCTAAAACTTCAGATGTAGTTAGATCAAATGGAACCAAATTAATTTGAGGTATGTAAACTTTTTCCTCGACTCAATTTCCCAAAACCATAAAAGCATCGATATCGCTCTTTCGCAGCTCTTGAATGATTAATATTGTACCATTACATAATCCAGATATTTGGTCAATGTTCCCCAATAACATAATTGGTACCCTCTTTTTAAAAATTATTTTTGTGGATTGGGATCTTCGAAGATTTGATTTATTCAAAAACTCAACTGTTATCTAATCTGCATCAGCACCTACATATGAATCTGCTTGTCATGAAGAATCAGAACTCGAATACACCATTTTATCTTCCGGAATGAGGGATATGACATTTGTTTACCATTTATATAACCTCAAGAGTATAGGACACAACTCTACTGGAACCCATGCTTGAGGGGTTAACTTGTATGTATTCTTTTTTAGTGTCCTATACTCTTGAAGGGTTAACTTGTATCTAGAATCAAGAATTCAGACGGAATTTCAATCTCAGTTATTCCATAAATCACTTGTCCAAGCTTTCTATCTCCAACTTTGATTATCTAATTAGAAAAGGCTTGTGTGTCCTTATTTGCGTAAGAGAACGTCGATGAACACAATCTTAGATCATATTCTTCGTCAACGCATAAAGTGTACAATACGACCATAATTTTGAAGAATTGATGGTTGTACCTCCAATTTCTTCTCTTGAAACTTTGAGTAAAACAAGAAGAGTTTCTCGAAAATCGCCTCCCATTACAACTCCTTTCCCTCCGAATGATTCATTTTTGGTGTTTTTATTTGAGAAACTCATTACATATCTTATCGTGCAATCCAATGCCTCGAAATCAAATTTATTATTTATGCATATTTCATCCCATATGATTAGACTTGCTTGTTGGATAAGTTCTACTTTTAGGCCTCCTTGTTTGATGACACACGTTGAGCACTTAGTTAGTGTTAGAAGGATTAAGAATCTCGAGTGTGTTGTTCTTCTACCAAGCAAAAGCAATGTTGCAATGCCACTGGATCAATATTAAAGACAACCTTACTATTTGACCTCAAAAAAGCATGCAGTGGTTTCTATAGAAATACTTTTCAAGTTCCGCCGTAACCATATGCAAAAAGAAACCTCCTCTTTCAGTTGTCACAACTTTTATTATTTCATCGTATATTTTCTGCTTATCTTCATTCATCGTAGATAAGTATCCATAAGATCAGATGACTTCTTTTATCATAGTTTAACTCTTATACCAATAAGTTATATTGAAATCTATTAAGTGGACTGTCATATGTAAATGACACACTACTCAATTCCCTTAAAGACTATCTATTTGAGTTAGACAACTTTTTAATCTCAATCAAGCATAAATTCATTAGATCTTTTCAGGAAATCATATGCTTTGAAAAAAATTAGAAAAAATGTGACTTAATTAGTTATATATAGTACTCAATTAAAGAGTTTGATTTCAACAAAATGTATTACATATGGATTAATATGTTAAAAAACTATTTTTCTAATGAAATACCTTGATTATGCAATATTCTCCTTCGATCAAATAAAATTCCATCCATCGAGATTTCTTATGATATTTCTCAAACAATTTGTGGGTGACTCGTGATATTTGTCACTAATGATGTGACGAACAACTTTCTTAATTAATTCCTATATCGTAACTCATCAGCCTCTTTTATACATTTAATAAATTATTTATCATTGATGAATAACCTCAATGTATCACATGCTTCCTCGAATGAGTTATAAAGAACATTGTTTACTGTCTTCAAGCTCTCATAACTCTTTGGTTCTTATTGCCACATACTCTAGTCGACCTATTAATGGTCTTTCATACTTCTTTTTGGCATGTGTTATAATTATATTTTTTAGTTTTTATACATGATAGTTTTTCAAATAAAAATTTTAGGGTTAGTGACGAAGCAGATGTACGTTTTTTCCTTTAAAGACATTACACACCATGCATAATTTTTTTGCCTTTAAATATGTAAATATAAACATTTTATACCTTTTATTCAGTAATACCTTGTTATATTTCCAAACTATATCTTCTTTTTCATAAATAAATCATGTAGCATTTAAGAATCTAAAAATTAATTTTAATCAAGAATATAAAAATGAGTATTTAAAAAATTATCTGATCATAATTACATTTATAACAATTAATATTATACCATAAATTTTTTGGTTTTAAAAAGAAATTAATAATTAACTTATTACACACAATACAAATGCATTATTTATCCATTTATAAATTTTTCGCATTTTAATATACATAGTATACATTTTTTTTAAAAAATAAATAAATATCAACTTCTATTATTTCATTGTTTTAAGAAAAGAGTATTTGAAAATCATTTATTCAAAAAGAATACAATAAGGAAAGTTTGGGAAGAATCTAATTTCGCATGAAAAAAGGGTCAATGGAAATCAGAAAGAAAACAATAAGAAAAGTTTCGGTCAATGTTTATTGACGGATATGACTGCTGACATGTAAATAAATTGTCTAATTAGCGTGACACGTGTCACAATTCTGGAAGCTAACTCTCAAAGTTAATATATAAAAATAAAGATTCTAAAAAACTACATTGGCACTCCGTATATAAGGCATATACTATATATTTTGATTAAAATTGCCACATCATTAAATCATTAATAGGTGGCAGATGATATTTTAAAATTTTGCCAAGTGTACTCGACACATGTCACAATTCTAAGAATTCAATTCTCAAATTTTATACTCCGTATATAAAGATTTTTTCGAATTCCTTCTATTTTTTCCCAATATTCAGCTATTTTTTCACAATTCTCTCAAAGGCCAAACTATGCTTAAAGGCCGTGGGGGCGAGAGTTCCGTTTCTGACTTCGCTCTTAGACTTGGGTTTCCGTGGTGCTCTCTCTTCTGGCGGAGTGACGGTGCGGAGCAATGGCGAGCGCTCTTACGCATTTTGTGCTGAATACCGGAGCTAAAATGCCGGCGGTGGGATTAGGGACATGGCAGGCCGAGCCGGGAGTCGTGGGTCAAGCCGTTGAGGCGGCTATTAAGGTATATATCTATTTCTTCTCATCCTCCTCCGCAACTGCTGTTTCATACATTGCTCTTTGCATGCTCGTATATATGTTTCATGAAAAAACTGTGTAGTCTGTGTCTATCCAATCCATTGAGTTTGATTAGAGAAAAGGCCGCCTGATGAAAATTTTGACGGTGATTAAACAATAGTTTTGTGCTATATCCAAAATTCCAATTGAAATCCCATCTAAATCTTAATGGCGTAGTTCTGTACTGTTTCAAAATGAAATCTCATTTAAATCATTCTATTTTCTTAAGAATGGATCTTCTGCAGCAACTATATGTTTAGACAAGCGATCTAGCTAGATCTTTTTGTGTTGGAATACTTTTCAGTCTCTATCAAACGCAAAATAAAAACTTTTCTTCTAATAGTTCATTGCATCAAAACCAGTCATCACAGCTGTGGAATAACTAACCTTTTACTCCTATTTCCCAATGTCCCCCCAGACCCCCCTTGCTTTATCTATATGGTGAAGCTGAGATTACGATCCTGAAATCATTTGATGCCAGTGGGTCTCAAACGGCATCGACAGTGCACACTGCCTTCCATTAAGAAACATCCAAGGCTCTAAGAGACTTCCCTTCTCCATGTCTATGAAAGTTTTAGCCTACCTTGGCCAACACGGCATGTTTAGCAGAGTGGTAGGTCACCAAATACACTGACCAGAGTGCTAGGATGAGTAGTCCAGTGGGATTGGTGGCTTTCCGTAGGAATATCACAGATTGTAGGCCTGTGAAGATCGTGGGCTTGGTATGACGAGCCTAGGTATTTTTTTAAATCCATAATTGAGTGTCTTCTGGAGGTCCCTCAGTCTGGCTTTGCCGAACCTAGTAGTTTAGACCAACGACTAGATTTAAAGGCCATAAACACCTTTTTGCCGAGTGTTTACCTGTTTGGCTTGTTTCGTGGCTGACGTATTCTGGATGAGTATTGAGTGTAGGTGTTGTGTTGGCTGATGCCTCAACTGTGACGGCGTTGCATTAACAGCACTGCAAGTGTAGTTTTAAAGCTTTAAAAGGTCTTGTTATCTTTGGCAGGTTGCATATGGATTGATGGATCCTTTTTCTTTTCTGGGATAGGATTGATTCATTGCAATCATGAATTTTCAAACTAGAAAGGCCGAGACATATTTCATTGTTAAAGGTATATAAATAAGAGAAAGAGACCAACATATTTCATTATCACACAAAGATAATTCTCAGCTGCCTGTTTGCCGTTAGAAGGTTCAAGGATCCTTTCTCTTTTCTTGGTTCACTTCTTGATTTATTTCCTACAAAGTCCCACTCATGGCACTAACTTTTGAGTTTCCCCAGTATCTAACTAACCTTGTTAGAGGAGAGCCTTCTCCCTGAGTCACGGTAACTATAGCCGACCTCTCTATTGTTGTAGCCTTTGTGTCAGTTGTCTCTAGGTTCATTGTAGTCTCTATGCATTATCAGGTCCATTGTGTTGGGTGTCGCCACCGCCTCCACAAAGGGCATCTGCCATTTTTTATACACCAAAGGTTGTGACCACTGCCTCCCACCATCACCATGGGGGTGGAGGTGAGGGCATAATGAGAGTGGACATTTTTGTAATCATTAATCTTGATTTTTGTAGAAGATTATGAGGATAAGCCGTAGTATTGTTTAGCTTTGCACTACCAAGGGTAAGTTTGCCTACATTCCTTCATGCATCCTCCCAATCTCGAGTTTTATACTGACAAGCTGAAAAATGATGCATCTAGCCATATTTCTTGGAAATGTACTTATGGTGATACCACTGAGTTATATACATTCTTTTCATAGTTCATACTATGTACAGAGTGTTAGTAGTGATGCTAAACCAAAATACATATTTGTGTTGTCCCAATTTCCTGAGGCTCCGTTGAGTGTGAAATAGTCTCCAAGTGAAATGGTTTAATACATAGGCCTGACAAATCAGTCACATTTTCTTACCTATGCAGGCTGGATATCGCCACATTGATGGTGCTCGAGCTTATAACAATGAGAAAGAGGTATTATAAATTCAGTTTTACACATAATACATAATACTCCCTCCGTCTGAAAATGAAGCTTACACTTTGACTTCACAGAGTATTAAAAAAGAGTTTAAAAGTGAAAGGTGTTTGGTGAATAATGAAAGGTGTCTGGTTGAAATTTATTTGATCCGTAGAAGAGAGAGAAATTATAAGAGCCACATATTTATTTCCTTAAATGGAAAGTGGAAAAGTGTAAACTTTATTGTGGCCTTGTGGGATGGAGGGAATGTTACTTATGGATAATCTGATGTTTTCTATTTCGTATAGTATAATAGTACTATTTGTTATAAACTATGACGTGGATGAGCTTTTGAGCTTAATTCTTAGTTCAGGTATCCTACCTCATCATTTAAGGTTATGGTGCTGGTTTGTGTTTTATTTGCTAGAGTAGTACACTTTTGGAGTTTTCATTTCTACTGTTAAGTTCTCTTGAGTGGGGTATACTGAGTATGTTGTGTTGAGTTGTATTTGTACTGTGTGGTTCCACATCTTTTAACACGTATTTAACTTTCATATTCCAAGTTTTTTGTTTTGGAGGGTTATAGATTTCAATTGCTGAATCTTTAGCCTTCATATTACATCAGTAAGCCAACATTATGGTGATTCGTATTCATGTTAAGTGTTGGTGTAATTCTCCTTGTTCTCACCAATCACCATACAATATAATTGATCATTCCAATGCAAATTTGTGCTCAGGTGTTGTTACCAACTTCTTTGCTCTAAATTAATGCTAATATCCTGAACTTTTATCTTTACATGCCTTATTGGCCTATAATGTGGATGAACTTTTGAGCTTAATTCTTAGTTCAGGTATCCTACCTCATCATTTAAGGTTATGGTGCTGGTTTGTGTTTTATATGCTAGAGTAGTACACTTTTGGAGTTTTCATTTCTACTGTTAAGTTCTCTTGAGTGGGGTATATGAGTATGTTGTGTTGAGTTGTATTTGTACTGTGTGGCTCCACATCTTTTAACAGGTATTTAACTTTCACATTCCAAGTTTTTTTTGTTTTGTTTTGGAGGGTTATAGATTTCAATTGCTGAATCTTTAGCCTTCATATTACATCAGTAAGCCAACATTATGGTGATTCGTATTCATGTTAAGTGGTGGTGTAATTCTCCTTGTTCTCACCATACAATGCAAATCTGTGCTCAGGTGTTGCTCTCATTCTTTGCTCTAAATTAATGCTAATATCCTGAACGTTTATCTTTGCATGCCTTATTGGGGATTATATTTGAACATCTAAACATCTCATTAGTGTAGAAGTGTGGTTTTAAATTGTGTTTCTCTTGCACCGTCTTTTTCTGAATATTTCTCATTGAGTGGGAGAAAAATGCATTTCTTTCATACCTCTAAAACTAAATTTTTTTAAAAATTGTTTCTAGATTGGTGAAACACTGAAGAAGCTGTTTGCTGATGGTCTGGTTAAGAGGGAGGATTTGTTCATTACCTCCAAACTCTGGTACATTATGTAGTACTCCATATCATATAAACTATACAGTTATGATTTATGAAGCTGTTTCTGGCTTGCTTTATTCCATTAAAGAACTGGTGATATCTAAGGTTTCCACCCCTCTTCCGAGTCACTGTATGAAGCTTTGGATATGTGCTCACAGTTTTTAAAATTCTTAGAACATAAATGCCCACTTGATGAACTCCACAATAACAAAATAAGGAATGAAGATCACGTTAACTGATTTAAATGTTTTTCTTAGAATAGAACTTGGCAGTTACCATAGAGTTTTAGAACTCATTGTATTCCACTGTTTTAGCGTGTTTGTGCTATGCTACTGCTGGATATGACACATGTGTTGGTAGTTGACACATTATTTGGTTGGCCATTTCTTTATTCCTTATTCAAACATTTACATTTTCTTAATCACAATAGATTCTAAGTTGGCTTGGTGTTTTGTCTCCATACATTAATCTTTAGCATCTGATATAGCCATTGAGGTTACACACCCCTAAAATAGAGGCATTCTGCATGTTAAACCTTGTTTTTTGCATTTATATTCTTAATAATCTAATATCCTTTCTCTTAGATTAAGTTACATTTGCAAAATGCAAGGACCTCACTTTCCAATAACTTGCAAGTGGAAATTGTTTGCATACAAGCCCCGTAATTAATCAGTTAAATCATCTTGTCTGTTATTGACAAAGCAGCACATTAATACCATATATTTGCAGGTGTAAGGATCATGCACCAGAAGATGTACCAGTTGCACTAAACCAAACTCTGCATGACTTGCAACTTGATTACATCGATTTGTTCCTTGTATGTATGATTGTATGGTGCTCCAAGAAATTTTAGTAACCTTCACCTTTGTAATCTTTATCATTCTGACCCAATTTCTTTACATTTTATATTCAAAACCTGCCATTGGACTATTTTGTGGGTATTCGGATTCAATGATTATCTAGGATAATTAGCCATAGCAGAAAATTTATCATAGTACCACTTGTTATTGGAAATCTGAACTTGTACATGAATAATGAGTTAGTTTAAAATGAATCTGTCTTATTGCCAATCTTTTTTAAGAGTATTATTTTTTGGTTGCTTAATATAGATTAATCAACCTCACCACTGGGAAAAGGCTTAGTATGGTTTGGTTATATGCTCAATACAGTTTTTGCTTCATTTTTTTTAAATTTCTAATTTCATGTTTTTATAGATCCATTGGCCTGTCCGGATGAAGAAGAACTCAGTGGGATTTGTGCCTGAAAACCTTGTTCCAGCAGATATACCTGCCACCTGGAAAGCCATGGAAGCACTATATGACTCCGGTAAGGCCAGAGCCATTGGGGTTAGTAATTTCTCGACAAAAAAGCTGGGGGATCTTCTGGAAGTAGCACGTGTTCCTCCTGCTGTTAATCAGGTGGAATGCCATCCATCTTGGCAGCAAAACAAACTTCGTAATTTCTGTAAATCCAAAGGAGTTCACCTCTCTGTGAGTTTTATCATTCATTTCAGTTGGGCCCTATGCTCTGTACAATATAGCTGTTTCAAACTTTACCTTATTGGAGTGTACATTTTTTATTTTTGATGTCAGGCATATTCACCACTAGGCTCTCCGGGAACTACATGGATCAAGAGTAATGTGCTTTCGCAGCCAGTTGTGCTCTCAGTTGCTGAGAAATTGGGAAAGACCCCTGCACAGGTTTGTCTTCGCTGGGGCTTGCAGATGGGAAACAGTGTGCTTCCTAAAAGCACAAATGAAGGAAGGATCAAAGAGAACTTTGACGTCTTTGACTGGTCTGTACCTGAAGATTTGATGTCTAGGTTCTCTGAAGTTGAGCAGGTACAAAGCATTTATTTAATTGCTTCATAAAAATCCTACCGTTTCCAGAGGTAACCCTCCCGTCAGGTTATTTCTGAGAATGACTCTGATATGTGCATCTATTAAAATAACACAAGACAGGAAAAAAAATCAAGATATTCATGATATAACCCTTTTTCAAGGAGCATACATATGGAAGAGTCATTTTGAGAAATACCACTACCTCAAGGATTCCCTCAGAAACTTCCCCGTTTTTTACTTTATCAATTTGGCATTATGAATACAAAAAAAAATTATCACGTGAAATATTGAGAATAGTAATTCTTTATTTCAAATGCCAAATTGTTTAGGTGTGGCTCTCAGATCCCCCAAAGTAAACCTCAATTAGTAGCATGAAATAACAAAAAATGTAAACTGCTTCTTGATCTGCTTCTGAGTAAAATATTTTATAACAGAGGGTTTTCCATATTTGGTTCTCTTTTATCAAATATTACGCCCGTGGTCTTTTTTGCTGGGTACCTTTTTACGGATAGTCTTTTTTTGACCTTTAGTCATGTTGGGTTAATTTGAGGGCTAAAAATGTAATTTCACATCGATCCTATGTCTTTTGCAGGCAAGGCTTATTAGAGGCACATCTTTTGTGAGTGACACCTATGGCTCATACAAAACTGTTGAAGAACTATGGGATGGTGAAATCTAAAGCTTGTTTGATAATGCACTTGCAAATAGGCAACCAGGAAGCGCCTCCCCGTTCAGTTTAATACTTCTTTTTAATTAAGAATATTCAGGCTGCACCCATGATTCTATGAATGCCTGAATGTATCAACGTTCCTATATATACTCTGGTATTTAAAACTTATGGAGTAATAAAATTTCTTTGCGGACAGTTGGACACTATTTGAAGTGGGTTAGTACTGTGTCTGTTTGATGTCAACTGCGGGTGTCGAATGTCAATGGTTGGGTAAAAAAGTTCTTTTTTCATTTGAAGCGTGTTAGCTCTGTTTTTTGCTTTGTTATTTTTGAGTTTTCACTTTGATCCCTCTTCATTTATTGTGCATGTTTTCATTTAATAGAAATTACTCTAAATAAGACTAGAATATAGAGAAAAGTATCGAAATAGGACTTCCATGTTTTTTTCCAAAATAGAATTTCACATTGTGGTAATGTGACACTGTATATGTGCACATTACTATACTTTTTGGTAATGTACATGACCATGTTTGGTAATGTAAGTGTATTTTTAGTCCTATTTCGAATATAAAAACATGTAAGTTCTATTTTGGTATATTTTTTCAATGTTTTACTTCTATTTTGGTCTTTCAACATTTATAATAAATTAAATAATAAAGAGACCTTTGTTACATGATGTTTTCATTTATAGTTCTTAGTTCTAAAATATAATGCCGGTTGTCCTCAATATTTGGCGTTTATTCTATAATTAGTCAATGTTGAAAGACATTACAAAATTTACTCTTTTTATATTCAAATAATGTTTATTTATTTTTTATTCAATCATAGGCCTTGTTTGGATGTTGGCAGTCAGCTGCTGAGTGTTGGCACTTTGTGTCAGCTGTTGTGAATGGCTGTTTACTTCAGCTGGTTTGACCGGTAGGATGAATTTGCTGATTGTTAAAAATGTTTGGTAACATTAGCTGTTTGAAAATAGTTTTATGTGTGTGTGTGTGTGTGTATATATATATATATATATGTATATATATATATATATATATATATATATATATATATATATATAGACACACACACAATATTTAGGGGCTGTTTGTTTCAGCCTCTTAATGGTTCAGATGTCTGAATGGTTCAGCACTTAATGGTTCAGACTGTTTGTTTCAGCCTCTTAATGGTTCAGATGTCTGAATGGTTAAGAGATTTGCCTCTGAATGGTTAAGTATTATACAGAGTCTGAATGGTTAAGATCTCTTATCTTAATTGATCAGACATTTGCCTCTGAATAGTTAAGCAATATATTAGCTTTTAATGGTTCAGACCTCTTACTGGTTCAGCACTTACCCATTCAGAAGTTGCCAAACAGCCCCTTATTTTTCATTCTTTTTACAAGTAAAAATTAAATCTTTACTATATGGAGTATTAAATTTTACTTTCATTTAATTCATAAGAAATTATTAATATACAACTTTTTAATGATTTTTACTTTTTATTTTCTCATTTCATTTTTTTGAAATTTTTAATTTTTAAATTTAATTTTTTTATAAAATATCTTTCAAGAAAAATGACTTTAAAAAAAATTAATTTTCCTAACAGCCAAGTCCAAATGCTACTCCCCTTGGCATTTCAGATTTTGGTTTTTTGGATTAAAATGCCAAGTGAAAAAAGCCATTAGCCAAACAACGATTTTGGCTGTTCGTTCAGTCAAAAAAGCCAAAGTCAGTCAAAATGTCAAAAACTATCCGAAAAGCCGTTTTCCAAACAGGGCCATAATCGTACAACAAATTCGGGAAGTAGTCACAAGTTGAAGTCAACATCGTTGTGTACTATGCTTTATTTTTATTCATTCACACGTGAAGAATTGATAAAACATTCTTATACTCCGTAATCCTATTCTCTGCCCTTTATAGTTGACGACTTAGGCTCCGTTTCGTTCAACTTATTTTTTCTGATCTGATCTGATTCTAATAAGTTCTGATCTGATCTGGTCTGATCTGATCTGATTGGATCTGATCTGATCTGATTGGATCTGATCTGATCTGATCTGATTGAATCTGATCTGATCTGATCTGATTGGATCTGATTTGATCTGATTAATTATGATTTAATTTAAAATTTTAAATCAATAATTTAATTTGACTTTATAATAACGTTTGAAAATTGTAATGATAATTCATATGATAATATAATCAACATTTTTTATTTAATGATTATTTTTTAATAAAATAAAAATAGCCAATTCATATATTAGAATAATCATTCATATTATAATGTAATAATATTTTTATTTTATGATTATTTTTTTGTAAAATTAGAATTATACATTAGAATAAATATTTAATTTAGATATACATTAAAAAATAATTAAATTTTGATAATCAATATATAGAAGAGATAGTATTTTTATTAAAATATCTCATCCTTATAAAAGATCAAAAGTTTAGAAACTCAAATTACAAGTAGCAATAAAAATATATTTTAAAAGTAGAATTAGATTGACATTGTAATAATAATGATGATGATGATGATGATGATAATAATAATAATAATAATAATAATAATAATAATTCTTGATAGGATCTGATTTTAATAAGTCCTGATCTGATCTGATCTGATTCGATCTGATTTTAATAAGAATAAGAAAAAATAAGTTGAACGGAACGGGGCCTTAGGCCTCGTTTTGTTCAACTTATTTTTTTATTTTTTCTTATTCTTATTAAAATTATATCAGATCTAATCAGATATAATCAGATCAGATCCTATCATATCAAAACAGGCCAGATCCTATCAGATCAAAACAGGCCAGATCAGATCTAATCAGATTAGATCAGATCAAATCCAATCAGACTAGACCAGATCAGATCCAATCAAGAATTATTATTATTATTATTATTATTATTATTATTATTATTATTATTATTATTATTATTATTATTATATTACATTATAATATGAATGAAAAAATACTATTATATTATATTATTACATTATAATATGAATGGTTATTCTAATATATGAATTAACTAATTTTATTTCATTAAAAAATTATCATAAACTAAAAAATATGGATTATATTATAATATGAATTATCATTTCAATTTTAAAAAGTTATTATAAAGTCAGATCAAATTATTGATTTGAATTTTAAATCAAATCATAATCAATCAACTCAGATCAGATCAGATTCAATCAGATTAGATCAGATCGGATTCAATCAGATCAAATCAGATCATATCAGACTGGATCCAATTAAATCAGATTAGAACTACAAAAAATCATATCAGATCAGAAAAAAGAAGTTGAACGGAACATAGTCTTATTCTTAATTTACCCAAAATGACCAAGTTGAACTTCCTAATATTTTAAATTTAGTCCCCCTTAAGAATTTATAATTACTGCCTCTTATAACTCATCCAATGAGTACTTCAAGATGCATTTGTATCCTCACTCCACGGAAACTTGGCTTTCATCCTTTCTGATGAGGTTATTTGCCTCCCAACTATGAATGGTTTTAATTAAAAGGCTCATTTTGGAGGATAAAACTTCAAGCTCATTTTGTTCATATTTGAGGGTAAAATAAGGAGAAAAGTGCACCATTTACCCCTTAACACATTGGAAATTGCATAGTTATCCTCGAATATTAAAAAGTGCACCAAATACCCCTGAATTCTTCAAATATTGCATGATTTACCCTTGAAGATCAAAAAGTGCACCAAATACCCATGAATTTTTTGGAAATTGCACGGTTTACCCCTGAAAATTTAAATAAAGATGATAACTTAGAGAAGGGAACTTTAGAGAATTCACAAGGGCAATATGAATCATACTCGCAATTCCCATGCGTGGGAGAAACTTAACGCACTCCTTATCTAGTATTTTATGACCAACGGTGCAATGTTTTAAATTATTCAGGGGTATTTGGTGTATTTTTTAATGTTCAAGGATAAATTAGACAATTTTCAAAGAGTCCGAGGGTAAACGGTGCACTCTTTAATGTTCAGGGGCAAATCATGTAATTTCCAAAGAGTTCGGGGTTAAACGATGTACTTTTATGAAATAATAAGATAGTCATCCTTGAGAGTACTTTGTATCATTCACACGCACAAAACAATAGAGAAGAGGAATTAATTGATGCTTGAATTGCGGAAACGTAGATCTGGGTTTTTCCTTTGATTGGAGACCTATATCTTGTTCGATCGAGCTAAAATTTGAAGAGCCAGAGCACTTGTGAAGCTTCAATCTAAACAGTGGAGATCAATTTCAATGGTTAGATCTTGAGTTTCGAGCTTCGGATCAGACTGCTGTTTTTGTTGATGTTCTTGCATCTTCGTGTCTCTGTTTTGAAATTAGCGCCTTCGTAGTGTTGTTAAGGGCTAGATTTAATTGTGGGTTTGTTGTATTTTGTATATTTACTCTCAATTTGGTGTTAGTTAGACCTAAGAGTCTTGTGATTTTTACTCTTTCCCGTTGATAGGGGTATTGCATATTAATATATTGTGCCTCTTAATATTTTCTTTCATCTTCAATCATCTTATTGCATGAAGTTGTTCTTTGGAGTATCTTTTTGTTGCTCCTCACATGTTCATTCAATAGGGAAAGGTGATTATCTTGAACACAACACTTATTTGTGTTTTTCCTTTCCCCAAATTGATAGCAAAGTCGGAGTTATCTAAAATTTTTCTTGATTAAATGAAGGAGCCAAACTACAATAAGATGATCAATTTGAATGGCACAAACAGTAACAAAATGGAAGGGTAAAATGAAATATCTAACTTTGTGAAAAAGCTGCATCTATCAGTGTTTGATACTTAGAAGCTAAAGTTGAAAAGTGATGAAGAGTGGCCTTTTGAACATGAAACAATTTGTGATTCTATTTGACAGTGGGTGGATAAGAATGTTTTGAATCACATTTATAATGAATGCCATACTTTGTGGGAAAAGCTTAAATCCTTGGCATCCATTTAAATAACCATTTATCTGTATATCTGATTCGTTATATATAGTTTTTCCTAATTTTTTATTTTTATATTATGTTTCTCTATTTATATCTCAAAGTATAAGACATTTTTATATACAAAATATATGTGTAGACACATAAAAATATGAGCATATATATATACAATGTATATCTTTTTATGATATGAAGTCATCGTAAAATATCATAAACTATAAAAAATAAGAAAATAATTATCCCATAAAAATTATAGCTAATTTAATAATATTTTGATTTAGTTTAATTGAAAATTAAAATATTGTTTAATTTGGTTTTAAAAATTGGAA